TTAAAAATATGTCCATGTTTTTACCAATAGACAGTGTACATATTCTGGTCCACCGACAAGAGGAGTAAATGTACCAAGCTGTTCAGCTAAAGCAAGCAGGACTTCATCCTCATCGTAAATAGTCTCTGTCAGAAATGGTATCAGCTCACTCCGTGTACGTTCAATACCCAGGGCAAGCGCGATCGTCGATAGCTTTTTAATGGAATTGAGACGTAGCTGTAATAAATAAGAATCAAAATAATGACTATCTCCTGAGAATGTACCAACGGTAATAGAAGTAACATTGTAAACTATTCTTTTTTATATTTTAAACACCTAAAATTTTGTCTTCAATTGAAATTTTCTTTTCACTACGCAATTTTAACACAACTATCATATCACTTGATATATATTTGTGTCATTTATCTCTCTCTCTCTCTCTCTCTTTGGTAGGCCTTAACTCAATAGCCCTTTCATCACAACTTGGTAATAGGAGTTGAATAGGTATGAGAGTTATAAGTTTAGGTTCGTTTTTTGGAGGAATTCAAGAAGATATTTAGTAAAAGTGAGATTTTTTGAAAACTTATGTCATCGATGTATACTTATCATCGATATCGTTGTGTTTAGCGTAAAAACGCGAGAAATGTTCCAGACTTTTCTTTGAGTATCGCCATCTCGACACTTTCATCAGTTGAATAGCATTGAGAAAAAAAATTTCGAAGAAAACGGTAAAACAAAATCGGTAAAACAAAGTTCGCATCGTAATCGTCGCGAGAATTACCTGGACGTCCTCATTTTTTAGCTCGTCGATCAGAACCGCGATCGGATAGAGACTATCGTCCGTAGTAGAGTCACTTGCTGCCATTTTGCTGCCGGATACACTCACACTGATAATTCGTTCTACGTCGAATGTAGGGAAGGATTTTACGCGTATGATGTCGACGTCGACAGTTGTATCTCTGAAAATTTAAAAGCGACGTCGTTACTGGATCGTCTTCGTAATTACAGCATAATTGCGCTGAATACTGTCAATTTAGAAACTCGATTGAAATCCACCTCGCGACTCCATGCGACTCCGTGAATCATTGACAAATGCAGTGACACGATCTACCGTTAGATGGCCTTACGAGAGGAGTCGCTACGCTTTATGGCTCCTGCACAGGACGCGGTAATGCTTGCCGCACGGCGGAAGTCCGTGCGACAGCCAATCAATATGTTGTTTTTCCGTAAGAGCTAGAAGGTTATTACGGAAAGCAGTATGATTGGCTGTCGCGCGAACTTCCGCCGCGCGGCAAGCATTACCGCGTCCTGTGTGCAGGAGCCATTAGTCTCGATCCACAATAGATGTAGTAAGCTTTAAGCCTAAGAAATTGACCAATCACAGTCAAATTTGAGGAGAATAATCGATTGTGATTGGATTCAATGACGGGATTCAGTCCCGTGGCTCGGGACTTAAGCGAGGAGCACACACTCTTGTCAATTGACCAATTAGAGTTCTCATTTCTATTGCTATGATGAAAATGAAGGACTCTGATTGGTCTATTTTCTCATGCGTTGTGCATTATGTCTTTATGGAATAGTATGTGCTCCCTCAATGGCCTGGTTTACATCGTGCACTTGATAGGGTGTATATCAGTTGGACACGGGGCAATTGGACACAGTCCAATCACAAGTCGCTGTTCCAAGGGACCCTACAAATGTCTCTAATCATACGGTGCTGTGATTGGCTGTGTCCAAATGCACCGTGTCCAAGTGCACCGCTCCCCACTTGATACGCGTACTAAGGCTGCGTTCCGAAATTCACTGCCAATACTGAAATTCTATAATATACGTAACATAAACTATAGATTTTCAGTACTGGCAGTGTATTTCGGAACGCAGCCTAAATAGTAACTTTCTATTAATAATTAGATAATCTTAATATCGACAATGCATATCAACAGCGACGCATTCTATCAATATAATACGTTTTGTTGATGTTGAGTATTATACCAGCTTAATATATTGTTGTTTATATATATCATCCTTATTAAGATTATCTAATAGAAAGTTACTATTTAGTACGCGTATCAAGTGCACGATGTAAACAGAATGCTTGATCTATATATATACGTCATTGTGCTCCCCGTTTTAAGCCTTATGCATAATGCCAGACAACAGACGGAAGCGTCCCGATTGATCACGGTACGATTGGACACAACCAACCGGTGCAAAGAATTATCTAGTGAATTACCAGGTCAAACCAATCATTGGGTGCTTTCCAATTGCTTAACACATCTTGACACACATGTACACAAAACCAGAGTTTATTGGTCACATATTATCTAAAATATCTTGTAAGATAATATGTAACCAATAAACTAGTTTTGTGTAACATTACTAATTAGTAATTAGTTTTACTAATTAGTAATACTGAGTGAATACGTACCAGATCTATTTTCCTTTAATAAATTATTTTCCATTTTCCATTGGTAGTTTCGTAATTTTGCTGAAAAGAAAATCAGAATAATTAATTGTGATTGCATTTCATAAAGTAGAGTTCGCCCTTCGTTATTAAGTAAAATTCGATATCGTGCTGCATCTGCGTGAAGCGATCTAACGTGATTATATAAACTACTTGCAAAATTAATTTCATGATTGTCGGAAAATTTTCAGGTTTCAATTTTTCATTTTAGTTAGAGTTTGCTAACGCGAGATACAATAGAAACAATGTTAGTGAGTGTTGATCCCTCGCGAAAAAAGCGATGTACACAAGTCAGATATGTGAGCAGTTGTTTGTTTATTTACACGGCGCGCGATAAGTTCCATCGAACGAAGACAGACTTCTCACGCGGTAACAATTCTTTTTTCGCGTAAATTTTGAATAGAATCTTTATCTCTATCGTCACAATTTTCATAATTTTTATTTGTTTATTCATGCTCGCTTTCGCGATTATTAATTTAATAGGTTTGCGAATTTCACCGGATCGTATTTGCGGAAGAGTCGCGAACGAACTTTATAGAAATTGCGGAGTTGTTATCCGCAAAAGCATTGTGAAATTGTCTTCGCAAAAGTATTGCGGAGCTGTATTGTCGCCTACTACGCTGCTCCATTGAAACGTTACATTAGAGATATTCCGTCATACGTGAGAATCTCGCGCGATTACTTCGCTACGGAACGCGCGGAACGTCGAAAGATATCGCGCGGAACGTCGAAAGATATCGGCCTTCGATTCGCGTCGCGTGTGTTTCAAAGCGATACACTACAACTCGATTGGACCGTTGCTGAATTATCGTACATATTCGTCGTTTATCCGAAAAACCGACATTTTCTCGAAAACGTAGTTTGCGATATTTCATATGCGATTTGCAACTTGAAACTCGTAGTGTATCCCCAAAGAGAGACGGGATTCATCGCGAAACTTCCGTTATATTACCGCGGTCGGGAGTGTATTATAGGCAACGTGGGGTGCGAGGACCATTGTAGCGCCAGATGCAGCGACGGGATGGCTGGTGGACCCTGGACACCGTAGGACGACACGCAATGGTGAGCGCTCAATTTAGACGCTCATATAGTAGACACAAAGCGTCACTTTACGTAGATTGCATGTATGCAGACGTAAATCGCATTGGGTCCGACGGGAAGTAAAGTAAGAATTGGAATTTGCAATTCGCCGGAGTTACGTAAGAATTATCCAACCAGAGAATTTAGCTCTGAGTTTTTCGCAATAGTTCAACGAGTCAAGTATTTCCATTTCTTTAAGAGTACTGACTAACTCAATCCTTAGAAAAATGTGCAAAAGACTGATAAAAAATAAAAGAACTGTTTCTTAATTTATTTCAAGCATTTATAAGGCTTGAATTTTTTGTTTGGTTTAAAAAGATGTGATTGGAGAGAATATCCATTGATAAAAACTTATAATTTTTCTAATTGGATTATTCTTGCATAATAATGGCCAATTAAAATTTCGACTCGGCAAACTTGCTTCTCGTTTGACTATTTCTTGATGATAAAACTGATATATTTCAACATATCATATTTATATGCTCTTCGTATGTTCTATATATGCTTGTTTTATGCTCTATACAGGGTGTCTCACATTCTCCTCCGGACATTTTGTGGGAACGTAGAACAGGTTGCGGTGAACATAAAAGTCCTATACCGTTTTGCGATATTCGCAATAATTATCGAGATATTAATTGTAGAAAATTTGTGAATGATCATGCAGAATATGGTAAATAAATTATAGTAGCGACGACTGCCGTCGTGTATTTATACTTTAGGTCAAATTGAACAAAAAAGTCCTCTTCAACCATTTTCCAAATAATCACATAGATTTTTAATTATTAATTAAAGAAGATTATTGCACGATTTTGCGTGATAATGCACTCATCTTCTTCTGGTCGGACACGAACTCGAGACTTTAGATAACCTCCAGGTTTCTATAGTCTATCACCTTGGCTACTGCACTATTTCTTCAGCTTGTATTGTGTTTTTTATTATTTTTATTTTATTTATTGTATTTTTTATTATCCCCATATAGAGCCGAAGCAGTAATTATAATTATCTTATAATATTATTTAGTATAATTACAAAAATAAACTATTTAGTTCAAATATTTCATATAATAAAATAGAAGTCAGAGATATATGCATAAAATATTTATGTAAAATATGCTTACTTAGGTGTTGATATTACAAACGCTTTGGAGCACTAACTAAAAGGTGAATATTGGTCTTTACGATTTTTTAAAGAATTTGAAGCGTGTAGTGAGTACTACCTAGGGTTAATTTTATAAATAATATTTTAATTTATAAAATTAAATAAGTTTAATTTAGTTATATTTATTTTCGTAATAAAAAACATTCTATATATGAAGAAAATTTATATATATGCAATTAAGTGATTATTAATAAACTATGTTCCTATTGTGTAATATTTTCAGGATACACAAAAAGTGAAATAATTACACATAAGTTTGCTGAAATATTGGAGATTATATTAACTTTATGACAATATTATAATGCAAGGTTATCAATTTCCGTACGTGCATAAGACGAATAATTTCCCGCGTTAGCATTTTTATTCGACGACAATCCGTGCTGATGCACGGAATTCCTCGGGTAATAATTTTCGCGTAACGATAGTCTTATCACTGAGTAAGCGGGATACTGACTGTATTTAGCGTGGGACACAATGCTTATCACAATATCTCGAGCCGTTTATAAGTACTTAAATGTTTTTACTTTTCCTCACCGCTATACATTTCGCGCGGAGAGTTTGTTGCGCTCGTTTCGTATACCAGCACTAGTCATCGGACAATATGTCTCTCCACAACTTCAACGAACTCAAAGTCTTTGACGACGCGGTGGACAACATGGACATTATCAGGACCATAATCGCTATGGAAAACCAAGAGGATTCTTTCTATATCGTGGACATTGGTGATATTATTAAGAAACATTGCGAATGGATTACCAAGATGCCAAAGGTTGTCCCGCATTACGGTATGTTCGCTATGCCAGTTATACTTTCCGCATCTTCGAGAATTTCCTCTCGGTTTCGAAGCTCGAATTGGAACACATATAAATCGACGTTTCTCCGAATTTTCAGCGGTTAAGTGCAATCCTGATCCGACAGTTGTCAAGGTGTTGGCCGCTTTGAACGCTGGCTTTGATTGCGCGTCTGAGGTAAATTATTTTTATTGTAATCTTACTTTCCGTCGATGTCTCGCAATTATGTATTTTGGCACATCTTTCTAATTATAAAATATCGTATTTTCGATTTGACAAATCTCCTATTATTTCGCGAATTGCATGATTTTCTTCTTTTCATAAGAGTAAAGAGCGGCATAAGTTCAACGTATACGTAATATGTCATAACAGCAAGAGATTAGGCAAGTGATGCAGTACGGCGTGCAGAGTGATCGTATCATATTCGCGAATCCGACTAAGTGCCCGTCTCATATTAAATTCGCCAAAAAGAAGAACGTCAGTCAGATGACGGTGGACGGCGAACTGGAGCTTCTGAAGATCAAGGACTTTTATCCCGAGGCCAAGTGAGTGCGCCAAATCATGTCGTCCGTAATTTTCCTTATCAATTCATGATTGTTTTTTATCAGTTTTACTTATGAAGATCCTGCATTCCGTTTCCTATCTCTTTGTACTTTATACTCTACTTTATGACGCCAGCCATGTAATATCTCCCGTAATAATCTCGCAACAGAATCGTGATACGCATACGATGCGACTCGAAGAATTCGCCGGTCCCTCTGGGATCGAAATTCGGCTGCGAACCGGATGAGGAAGCCGTGCGATTGATACAACTGACGAAGGATCTCGGTTTGACGTTGCACGGGTTCAGCTTCCACGTCGGCAGCCCATGCGGCGAGCTAAACGCATTCAGCAAAGGCATCGAAATGTGCAAACAATTGATCACGATCGCTAGAGTGATAGGCTGTAAAGACGTGCAGCTAATTGACATTGGCGGCGGTTTTCCAGGCGCGAGTGGAACAGATATCGATAAGGTACATAGAGAAAAATGCGAGAAAAATCTCGCGTGCAAGAGACTCATACGTTTTTCAATTGGTCGCGTTGTCTCTCGCTGTCGCGAGGAGAAATCGATCAATTATCATAATCTTTTTTTCAGCTCGCCAACATCGTGAACGAAGCTATCGAAGACCTCGATCCCAGCATACATGTCATCAGCGAGCCGGGACAATATTATGTTACCTCGGCGTTTACTTTGGCTTCGTATTTGCACTCTAAGAAAGTCGTTCGTAGAGGCGGCAAAATAATGAGAATGTACTATGTAAACTGTGGAGTATACAATTCGTTCATAGAGGAGATGTTAGGCTTGAAAGCTAGATATCCGCAGTTTGCCTTTGAGGTAATCCACGTTTTCTTTACGAATGTCTTACGTATTCCCGCGCGGTATCTCTCATTAATGTAAGAGTAATTACTGATTTTTATTGTTGTAGCCGGCTAATCATGAGAAATTTACTTCGACTCTATGGGGACCGACTTGCGACTCATACGATGTCATTCTTAAAGATGTGTTGATGCCGGAACTTCGCATCGGCGATTGGTTGGTCTGGGAAGATATGGGTGCTTATACTTTATCCATATCTACTACGTTCAATGGATTCGCTATTCCAATAGTCATACCGATTATCAGGAAAAGTCAATGGTTAGTGTCAATTGACTGTTATCACTTTCAAGTGCCAGTTTGCAAACGCCATTCTGTGAATATTATCTCGTGCTTGTGTGTAGTAACATGATTGTGTGTTACTCGTGATCACTGTAGTATTATGATATGTGATATTATAGGTGAAATATTTTTAAAGTTTAAACTATTTTCCTTCAGAGGCGATCTCACGTGATAGTCGTACTCAATTCAGCCTGATTTTGTCTTAACGTTTAATAAGATGTATAATATTTTCAGGAAAAAATTAACGTCAGAAGTCAGATCGATGCACATATCCACGGACATTATAGAATGGTCCAACTCGGTCGAGAGGGAAGACTATATCGAGAGCCGCTGACATATATTAAATCGATTACCGTAGGATTAGGATAAAATATAAAATTTTGACGATTAGATCAACCAATATTTTATTTATATACTAATATTTTTAACTAATATTTTATTTCTCTCGAAATCTATTTAATCTCTCTTAATATCGCATTCATATGTATATCGTGATAATTACGGATATCGCGATTTTTAGCATAGATTGCTCAAGAGACGCGGTAGCATCTCAACGCCTCAAGATAATTTTATTTTATCTTTATAAGATTTTTTTAGAAGATAAGTAACACACGGCGACGTGTATCTATGAAATGAATTTCTTAATAAGAAAATGTGTGCCGAAGACTTTTGTCTTCTTACATGAATGAGTGATGTGTATCTTACATGTATAATGATATATATATATATAATACACATATATGTAAATATGTATATATGTACACAGGGTATTTCGTAACATTCGTAAGAACGTAGAATTGAGATAAACATGAAAATCCTATATAGAAATAAAAAGAATATTCGTGAATGATCATACACACGCGCGATATGATAGGTGAGCTCTACTAGTATTGTTGTATGCTTGTACATTAGGACAAACTGAACAAAAATGTCTTTCGCAAATAATTACGTAGATTTTTAGTTATTAATAAAAGAAAATTGTTACATAATTAAGCGCGATAATGCATAAATCTTCTTTAATTAATATCTAAAAATCTATGTAATCGTTTGCAAAATGATAGAGGACTTTTTTATTCAGTTTGATCTATTATATAAGTATACAGTGACAGACGGTGCCACTATAGTTTATTTACTATATTGCGCGTGATTATTCACTAATCTTCTTTAATTAATATTTTGAGATTGTTGCGAATATTGCAAAACGGTATGAGACTTTTATGTTCATCTCAATCCGTTCTACGTTCTCACGAACATTGTGGAGACAAATCTGGAATATGTATACGTATATGATATGTATATACGTATGTATATGTATATATTTATATATTTATATGCATGTGAGGATAAGAAATATAAAATGTTTATAAGATTTAAATTATTTTTCACGCACAAAATTACCAAAAATAGTGATTATTAGTAAATATAGTATTTTATGAAAATAAAAAGACATAAAAATATGATGTGTTCTATTTTTTGTCCAACCGAATAATTATTCATATATTGTTATAATATACAACCGTCAACATCTTTTCTTTAATCTAATATTTTTATTATTATATAAACAAATTAAAACGTCAACTTGATTACGTGAGTTTGATAAATTACAAACTGATTCATTTATAAAAAATAGTAACGTATGACATAACAAAAAGTTAAAAGTTTTTTGTTAATTATGAATAATATTTCGATTGTCACGTGTAATTAAGTTAAAATGTTAACTAATTAAATTCTCATTTTAACTTTATTACACTAGTTTGATAAATTAAGAATTATTTTATAATAATTATAGCGCGTGATATAATGAAGTGCTTTATTAATTACTGGCAGGAGGAAATCCCAGTTTAGTCATCGTATCTTGTTCATCTCACGCGACGGACAGCTATAAATCACTGATGACAAATGATTTGATGAAAAGATAATATCTTAACAGATATCATTAAAGTGCGGAGAACAAGTATATCTTAATTTATATAACACACATACATACATGTGTAACGTAAATATTAGACATGTGTTTTATTTTATAAATTGCACCATTTTATTGTAATCAGAAAATAATAGATTCTTTTTATTTTAAATGTTATTTGACACACATATTTTATATATATTTATATTATATATATTTATATTATATATATTATATATATTTTATATATGTAATTTATATATGTAATTTATATATGTAATTTTATATTATTTTATATTATTTTATATATGTAATTTAACACATACACGCACGCGCTTACACACATATACACACATATATATATATATATATATATATATATATATATATATATAAGAAGTAAATTATTTTTACTTTTCTGCTTGACAAAAATATTACATAATAGTGATCTTCTGGAGAAAAAAGAACTAAATTGCGTTGATTCAAATATCAGTATTTTAACAAAGAATATTACTTAATTTGAATCATCAACGGAGTTCATTATTGCGTGTCTTCGCATTCCTTTATTTAGTTTTTCTATTCAGTTTTCAAATCTGGATTTACGTTTTTCCATCTAAAATGAAGTAACGAATTAAATTGACACTTTTCCGAAAAGAATTACCTTGCTTTTGTAAACTAATACTCACTCATTCGCAGTTTGGCATTCACCTGGCTTAAGTCCTTCTCTCTTTTGCGCGATATACAATTCATTTCCGTTGATAATGTCTTCTCGGGGCGGCTCGAATGATAATGAATCCCGTACCTTTTTTTCAACAAGACAAATATATATTAAGAGATAGAGAAAAATCAAGGTTATCATTTACACCGCTTGTTTCGAGCATGTTATCTGCCCCTAATAATTTTCACACTTGCCGTTTCTACAGCCTGAAAAACTCGTATGAAGTTCCTGCCAGCTAGTTTCTCCAAGTCCTCTTTGGTCCATGTTGGTTCACCTTCTTTGCTCTCATACAAACGATCAAACAGATCAGGATACTTTGATACATCTTCTAAGCCCTCCGGTACTCTGATCGAAAATTCAATCGAATTATACTTTTGTCCGTAAAGTTCTTTTTTTATTGGCTGCGATAAATGCGTTATTAATGTCGACGTAATTACTTACGAATGTACACCGTCGTAATCTGCGCCAATACCAACGTGGTCCACTCCGATAAGATTTCGGATATAATTTATATGATCTAAAAATTCCGATACCTAATCAGAATGAGATTGACATTTCATAGGAGATAAATATCATATTGCTCGGGCAAAATCGATCGGTCGTTGGAATAATAAAAGCTTTCAGATGTGCAACTCATCGAAAAATGAAGAGTGCCATTATGTTTACGTAAAGAAAAAATTTCTACTCGTACATCACATTGTTGCGTATATGTCCCTCACATTAATTTTTCTTCTTTTTCTAATTATTTTTAATATGCAAGTACGATACAATACCTGCGACATCCTGTAATGTAGCATTTCTTGAAGAATTGCAGTTTACGAAACCGCTATAGAAATTCACCATAACAATACCCTTGTTTTCTTTCTAAAAGGAAGGATATTCATTAAATCGACAATCTTCTTTCTAGAAGAATTTTTTTACTCACGACTGAATGCAGAACGTCGTCGGGAACATTTCTGTAGTTGGCGCAAACACCAAAAGCAGACGAATGCGAAAATATGATGGGAGCCTTTGTGATCGCGAGCACATCTCTCATAACGTGATGCGACACGTGCGCCAAGTCGACCATCATTCCGATTCGATTCATTTCGTGAATAATTTTCTGAAAAGTGAACAGTTCATAATGTTCATAAATTCAACTTCGCACTAGACACTTGTATGTATAAATTGAATTTCGCATTAGATATCCGGGAACATTTATTATAGACTTTAATTGTCATTTTAAGGCCTATATTAATAGTTACTTGAAACTTACCGCAGATGAGATATTCAGATTTGAATTTAGAGTTAGATGTGAATTTTTTAGTTGAATTACGGTTATTCTACACATATAATGTCCCATGTGGGATAAGTTTCAATTAATGACTATTAATACAGGTTATTAATACATTACTATTAGTAACTATTAGTGACTATTAGTAACTATTAGTACAAATTATTAATACATTAATAAATGTTTATAAAGTTCAGCGTCACCGTCAGATAATTGAAGTCGATTGGAATTTTTGTTTTTATGAAAACTGCATCGGGGATTATTTTATGTGATATGCTATGTGATCGATGAAATTGATAAAAAAAGAAATATCGTACAGTTTTCAAAAGCTATTTTTGGAACTTATTATTTAAATGATACAAGAGGAATGCGCATATTTTTAGCTATTTTGATTTAATCGATTTATTGACGTCCTCACTTAATCGGATCTCAATATATTTGCTCGAACCCATCATGTTGTATTTTCCGGTTAATGACGCCATATTCGGTATCAATAATTCGCTATCACAACAGATATAAATCATTGAGTCACGCCAAATAATTTGGGAACTCCGAATAATTTGGGATTTTCCATCATACGAAAATACGAAATAAAATACGCAGTACGTCGCGTATTTATAAACAATAACAATCATCGTGATCCTTCTCACGTACTTGCCCAAATTCCGTCAGATTGTACACAGATCCGTCATTTACGGACGACGAGTCAGCCCTGTGAAGAAGAAAAGATGGGATTTATCATATACATCCATTACGGTATTTCGTAAGGCGATGGTGCGTGATTCGTGTGTTTTGTCGCGCGAAAAAGATAAAAATTAAGAAAGTTTAAGATTGTGTGTGTATATGACGTTACTGGGATTTTTCATGCAATCTTGATATCGTATTTGCATGTTTCTCTCTTTCTCTCTCTCTATCTATCTCCCTTTCCTACCTTCTTTCCTCTCTTTCTCCTTCCCTTTCCGCCTAATATCTCATAAAAAAACTATAGTTAATTTTCCTTCGGTTGAATTAAAGTACTTAAACGTCTGATATACTACATTTAATCTTATGAATTGCGTCTGATACTACATTTTAATTGCATCTTATGAACGTATAAATATTAAATATTTTTCCAAGAAATATTCCTTAAAAGGATCAATAATTTCTTTTCTGTTGAAGAGAGCCCTATGTGATAATAAACACATTTACTGATCTATCTATCTATCTCTCTTTTTTCTATCTCTCTTCTATTTTTGAAAAGAGAGAAAGAGAAACGAAGCAGGAGGTGCGATTAAGAGATTTAATTCCCTTTAAAGAACCTAATCGCGATGAACGAGCGGCAAAATTTCATTACACTTGCTACATGAATGGCCATATCTGATGCAACGTACCATGGCGTGTTGCATGTGTGAGTCAAGGTAATGTAGCGTACTCCGAGCTCGTAGTAAAGCCGAAGGACCGCTAGACTTGACTCTAAGGAGTGACCGCCTTCGACGCCTATCATAGACGCGATTTTGCCGCTTCTCCACGTAGTCTCGATGTCCGCCGCTGCACTGATCAATCGTAGATTGGTCGGGTATCGCTGAATCAGTCGTTTTATCACGTCGATCTGCCGTAAAGTTCTTTGCACAGAATCCTTGTACTGCGATTCACAGCCGGCATACGCTACCCAGAACTGAGAGATCACGAACGCAATGCTCGTTATCACGAAAGACAATATCATCATCATCATCATTACGGCACAAGTTCGCTGTAATGATGTGAAATTAATTTTGTGATAATTTTGTGATTTTTTAGAGACTCGTACGAAAGATGAAGATAATGATCTTTTAACGACAAGCACGGCTAAAAATAAAAAGGAGAATAAAAAGGAGAATAAACACACAAAGGAAGATCGAGAAAAAATAGATAGATAAAGATAAAGACAGATATATAGAGATAGAATAGATAGGTAGATAGATAGAAATAAAAATAGTGAGAGAGAGAGAGGGGGAGAGAGAAGGAGGAGGGAGAGATGTGACGAAATCGTTATCGGGGAATTTCCTGGAATACAGAAGGAAGAACGTTGTTGAAAGAAGGCGAAGGCGGTATTGAAAAAGTACGAAGCGAGGGATTTCCGGAGAGATAATTAGTCTCATGTGACCGATTATATATATAACGTAGGTCGCCCGTGACACTTACTTGTCCACCCACTTTTCCTGCAATTAAACGGGGCAGATCGGTGAAACACACGGAACAGGCGGTTCTTCCCCATACATCGTCATTGCTCAGATCGTCTTCGAAGTGAAAGGCCGATAAATTATTGCTCAACATTTGATAGAGATTCTCTGGTAGATCGTTGTGACTACAAATATAATGATTAAAAATGAAGAAACTCAACTGACCGATGCTTGCAGATGTGATAAGAACGTGCAGATAAAATCGATTCCGTTAAGCGGTTATACGACTTGTATTCTTACGGGATATTAGTTTTGGATAATATATTACGGCACCATTCATTTTGTAATTTGTAATTTGCCGCTAATTTGCGTGTACGGAATATCATATGCACAGGAAGCGAAAATAACCTTTGATACAATCGATAGACTATAAATTGATTATAATCTCCAATCACGGGGTATTGATCTTTGAATATTATGTAATTTTCAATTATTCGTCTAATCGATTAATGATCGCAGATAATGAAAAACGTAAGAGGATATATTATGTAGAATTAATTACAAGTGTGATTTTTATCTTTACGACTAGTAGCTCAATTAAAAGATACTACTTTGAAATGTAATTTCACTACGTGAAATGTAATGAGAAATCATTTGTAAATTAGTTTTCAACTTTGGAAAATTATTAACAAAAATGATTAATAATTAAGTTTTTCTTATATATAACGATTGGATATTTCTCTCTCTCTCTCTCTCTTTTTCTGTTTACTTCTTCTCATTTTAATTATTGCCGGATAAAAACGAAAATTAAACAAGATTGCATTTTTAACAGTTGTATTAATGTACATTGAAATTATTAAAGAACGATATCTTGAATATTTAACAAATAATAATATAAATAAAATATTTGTATAAAAGTGTCGAAGTCTTTATTTTTATCAAGTTCTTACCGATATACTCTAATTACATGATTGAATTCTCAATTACCCATCGATAAGCGGTGCCGAGTCGAGAGCATCTCGACCTTTAAATGTGTTCACGCTTAGTCCCACGGATAATCCGATCATAAACAGAAGAATTGACAGGCAGACGGCGACGTTAATGTATACCATTTTTCCCGTACAACATACAAAAATGTTGCCTGCAAAAGATGGAATTACTGCAAAATTAGAATCTGTTTAAATGAGGAACGTCGAGTGGTATCTTAAATAATATTTTAAAAATAAACTTCTCTTATATATATTTTATATCCTAAAATCATATTAAAGTTATAAAATATCATATACATCATATTTTCTACATTATATTCCTTTTTTCTTATTTTATACATTTTCTATTCTGGATCGACCTTTTAAAAAAAAGGAAGACTTATATATTTCATTTCTTCTTAAATTATAATTCTTTTAACGCATAATGTATATTCTGCTTTGTATTTTAAATATATTTTCCGGATTATATATTCTGTAATTTTTCTATATTTTTATTAGAGAATATATTTTTTCGGTATTTTTTTCGATTCTGATAAAGTGAGTAATATCGACGATATCTAATTATATACGTCAGACGTCATATGTGGGAAATTCAGGGCTTGTTATCATAAATAGCAGATCTTAAGATCTTTTTCTAATTAGATGTATTTTTAATGAATGTTGTAAATCAAATGAAACGAAATCTTTTCGAAGTTGTAGGCGCGCATAATTCAGCAAACGTAGTGTCTACGTTTGAACGTTTCTGCTCGTTAAGGTAGTCACTTGATGTTCGAATAGCGAACGCTCTTGTTAACTAATATTATCGAATAGATCTTATTTATTGATATCAGAAAAAAGGTACACGATAAGCAAACATGCGGGGAACATATATCTATCTACGGAAATTGTCAATATGGAGAAAATGGAGTGATACAGATACACTTAATTGTAGCAGAGGTATAACTTTATTCACGTTAGATAACCTATATTGCTCTCACAAAACCATATATGTATGTATATATATATATATATATATATATATATATATATATATATATATATCTTTTCTTCTTTCTAATATATACACGTGTATAGAGTGGCCTTAAGCTTGCTTTAAATTCAATAAGGAAAACAAATACGACTTTATATCGGAGAAGTATTTTTTTATTAGACATAGGGCTGATTCATGGTAAGCTACATGATAGTTAAATCATGTGTTTATATCTGCCCAATTTGAAGAAAAAACGAAAACAAATATATGATTTAACTGTCAGTAGCTTATCAAGAATTTGGAATTGGTCCTGAAAGAGAAAGAGAAACAAATGGCACATGTCAAAATTTACATGAAATACATATATATAATTCACAATAATGTATAAAAATTGAATGATAAATCACGTTGCTATCTATATCGACACAAAGACAGCGGAAAAAGTTATTAAACCAAGTTGTAAAAAGATAACACTTGTCATAGTATACATAGTTTACATCTGATAATCTGATAATTGTTTGACTATTCTTAATAGTCGAGCAATAATTCGTGCATAATTTGTGATAAGCACGAGAAAATAACTCAGCTATAGATAGTTGAGAGATCGGCGAAGAAATCGTTCGTTAATTTTTTAAGTGCCATTACAATCAGTGATGTTTTGCTAGTCTTAATATAGTTTTATTGATGATTAGTTGTTAATTTTTTACAACTTCTAATCTGTCACCATTTCCTTTCCCTTTTATTTAAAAAGAAATTAATATAATTACAGAATGTCAACCTAATAATTATTGGATATAATTTAAAATTGTGTTTGGATACTATTTAAAATTGTCGAATTTTTAAATTGATTTTAATTGTTATATACAACAATTTATATACCTAGACCAAATATTCTCTCCAAAAAGTAAAGCCAGAAGTTGGCAGTTTGAGATAGAGATAGAGATAGAGATAGAGATAGAGATAGAGAAAGCTGTTTTGCGGCTTTCTTATTCTATCTTAAAATGTCTAGAGTCGCTATATTTTTGTGCTACAATAGTCAAGTGTTTATAGAAAAATATGTAAAAGGAATAAGGTAAAAAAAAATATATATATGAAAGAAAATATATATAAAAATATAAATAAAAAGTTTTATTAATCTAAGTTTGTCATATTTATTTTCGAGTTCTTAGTTCGCAATATTCCATTTCGTGACTGCTTGACTTTTTTACTTGTTATTTTTATACTAATTAATATTTTTAAGCTTGTAATATAGGAATTAAAAACATAGAGTCTAAATAAGCTGTTAATATTAATGATAGGTCGAAAAAATTATTTGGATTTAAACTGAAATTATTACAAATAGACGAGAAATATGAATATTAGAAAACCGAGAAATTTCAGAAATCTATCAGACTAGAGTGTGGTGAGCAAGTATTAATATGTATTTTGGAAAATTTTAAAATTTAAAAATATGTAAAAAAATAAAAATAGATTAAATTATTAATAGAGAATAAGTTTTATAAAAAAAGATACCATATTACATTATATTAACTAAACTATTATAATATATAAATTCTATATTTTGTACTTGTAAAATCGAATTCCGTCTGACTTATGTCGTAAATGTACGTCACAAATATAACAAAAAACCATTATAGTTTTAATTATTTTATTATTCGTATTTGTCCTTTTACTGTTTACAGCTAAAATGTTAGGTACCTATATAGCGCTTGCTGTCATATAAGCCAAGAGTGAGAAAGCAGTAGACGCAAATCACCTCTCTCTCAGTCGCAAACTTCCAATTTCTGGCTTCATTCGCTACTACAGTAAAAGTATATAAATGGTAAACATATATAAATTGGTCTAGATATATATGTCACTGATTATATATATATATATATATATATATACATATATATGTACATATATATGTATACATTATAATTGCGCATTTGAAGACTCATATATGCATAACATGTACAAAAGACACTTGAAGCAACATCAAGGCAATTCAAATTACCTGTCTCTCAGATGATATCGTGTTGTCCAACTAAAGTGACAAAGTTTAGCACGCTATTTTATAGACGTCTTTTTGATATTCATCTATTATATTTATCAAGATTTATCATATAAATGAAAGTATTTAATCGTACGATGAATTAATCACGTAAGACAATCAAAGTTTTTGCAAACGCATCAAAGTAACTGTTAAGATGTATGATAAGAAGATCGCTGAAAATTTTAAACTTTCCACCTCTACTGCGACCAAATAGAGGCTATCGAGATTATCAAGATATGTATGTATATATATATCACGATATATAGATATCTTCTATATATATATATATATCACGATATATAGATATCTTCTCTATATCGATACAGATGTTGCAACTTAGCAGCTTAACAAGCAAGTATATCGAGTTATTGTTTCCAGAAAAATGGGTGATGGTTTTACACATTCGTTCTTAAACGAAACGCGTAAGAGCGATCGCGCGGTATCACTGGCAATCGGAATAAATAATCAAAATTCGCAAAATCTCACATTAACGCAAATACGTTTGAAAAATCGCCACAGCCATTTTGCTATAATAAATTCTTTTATTGTGCGAATACACGAAACCGATCGATTTCTTCACCTGTGCACTGCGTTTACAACGAAATTTTCAAGGATACTCCAGATTATAATGAGAGCGTTAGATAAAAATCTTGTTTTTTTTTCTTCCGGCTTAAAAGTTGTATATCGTTTGATCGGACACTGCCCGTTTATCGATTAATGCGATAAGTACCAGATTCACCCATGCCGAACGTGATCGAGCATTCCCCCGGCGTTGCTGAGATCAGGCGATGTACTGTTGAACGTGCGAACAAGCTTCGCCTTGAAACGCGTTTAGCATGTATGTTCTAGCATGCATATATGCTGCGCGACGCATTACGCAACAAGTATATAATACATTCGCTTACAATTGGTACCTGCTAAGATTGGTATATCTCCGCTCTCCAATGATGCACTGTCCGCGTGCAGTAACACCTCCCGTTTACTGCCACGGCGACAAATCTATCTTCTCTCCCTTCTTCTCCGCACGCTATTGAACAGCTAGGTTCAAATAACGACTAACGAACGCTGTATGCCCCGATTATTAAGTAATAAACATCGTGACGTGGTGTAATCGTAAAAGAAAAACACGCTTTCGAAATTTATCACGAGCCAGTGATTGCGTAGTGTCGTTCGTTATAGATGATCCGCTGTTGCATTGTTTGATAGTTTTATAAAGCACATTATATATTAATATAAATATATTATAATTATAAACTTAAATATATTATAATTGAAAAATTAAGGTTATCTAGATTATTATAATTGGACCAAATTAAAATTTTGATGTTATGGATATATGAAAGAGAGAGAGAGAGGGAGAGAGAGGAGGAAAGAAGAGAGAGTCGTTATAAATGCTGAAAATAAATGTGGTATGATCTTTTGACCTGTCATTATATTTAATAATGTTGAAATGGTTAACGGAGTGTCTGGCGCCATTTAGCGGTGTAATGAAAAGACTCGTTCATTTATTGGTTTGAATCTTCGCTAGATAGGTTTGAATCTCGGCTTGTATGCGTTCCAAAAATCCACTACGATATTTTCAAGTAATATATTCACTACAAGAAAGATAGTTTTTCTTAATCAGTACAATTTAAGGAGATGTTGAAATCAATGACCAACTCGAATATGACGTAAATTTTGTAGAAAAACGCCAAAAATCTGTTGGTAAAATTTTCAGTTTCAGCGTTCTTTTAATGGCAAGTCGAAAGGTCTTTTATTCGTAAATAGTACGACTCAGTTTATATTTATTTTATTTTTTCGGTAGCATAACTAAGTAGTGAATCAGATAAGCTTTGATTTCTGTTTATCAACGAAAGACAAGAGAATTTTTGATCTAACGAGTTATATTATTGAAAAATAAAAATTTAAGTAAGATAGACTTTAAACTCGATTTAAATCAAATATGTATATAGTACGCATACAAAGTATAAAAAGTAGTAAAGAAATATACAATGTTTTGTAAATTATTAAAAATATCCTATTAAATATACGATACTCTAAAATGTATGTATTATAAATGATGATAAATATCGTCTATTCATACATATATACGATATTATTATCCTTATTTTTTATTCTTCGATCAGTTTAATTAATTAAAATTTAAAAATAATTTTGATGAAGTTACAGCGGCAACGAGTTCAGCATTGTGGAAAACAGAATTTAATGCTTCGATGTGATTACAGAGAATCTCTTGTCGGATTGTAAATGTGAAGCAGCCGATGATAAATATGAAACCTGTATTTTTTATTGTAGCATAATATTTATTGCTTACAAATTTGCATAAATGAGTGCTTGCTGACAATTCGTTATTAGAACATACGTGATTTACGAGATCAATTTTTCAAATTTTCTATCAAATTATAGCTTATCTTTGAAAAGCTGTAGAATAGTTAAACTTTATATTTAATTTGTTGCTGCATAACGCACAAAGATGACGCTAGACGTATTGCTTGGGAGATGCTGCCATCTGATAAACTCAAATATTAATTTTTACCCGTAATTTCTTTTTAATGTTTATTAAGTAATCATTTATAATTTTCTATGCATCTTCAAATAAGAGTACTGATGATTGTGTGTGCAGAATAATACAGAATAAAACATGGAATTTTACGATTATTTCTCTTTCCAATAATGACATACAATTTTTTATATCTAAATATCATATCATATTTTTAAGTGAATCTTTGCGTATATAAGACACAAAATCAGTATAATGAAATTCCAAATTGAAATACGTCTTGTATACGATTTATTAGCATGCGTTTTTTTCGAAGTCAACTTCGATTTATGAAAAAGTGTGAAGTTGGTCGCACGAACAATAGAGGTTAATCAAGATTAATGTCGTCACCATACGCATTCTAGCGTGCTTTTTAAACTTTCTCTGAGTTAAGTGAAACTTCTCGTTAGCGATGTCAGAATACTCCTTGGATTCGTTGGAGAGCGTCGAGGAGGATTCCTTGGAGAAGAATGCCTCTGTAAACAACGAGAATAACGACGATATGTGTAACATCCGAACAGTAAAATCCGCCGAGGAATTTGTTGAGAACGACTTATTTGATTTAGATCCAACATTAACGACGCTTAATCAGATGAAAGGTACAAAAGACGTCGAATAAACTGTAATGGCCTGATTAAAGACGGATTTAGTTGTTGTCATGTTAAAAGTGGTTCATGCGTTTTTGATCAGAAATAAGATAACGATCTTAATTATGAGTCATTTAAGATTAGGATAACTTTTAATCGTTTATATAAATTTATCGATTGAACATTAAAATAAATTGTTAATACAAATATAAGCAACTAACATCATAGTTTCAACACAAAATTATTTGACATTAAATTAGTTTATTCTAAATTATAAACACATAACTGTTTTTAATTATTTTAACTCCTTTAAGTTTTAATTATTTTAATTATAGTTCAGAAAATATTACGCATCTATATATAACGGGAACCTATATATATGATATTCAATTTTATATTAATAATATCCATGCTCATACTATATTTTAGCCTATGTAGAATAATAATATACGCAACCTACCAGCAATTCCATAAATCTAAAAAGTCGGTAAAGCTGCTCCTCCTAAATTTTTATCTTAAATATTAAAAATGTTTATGAATTTAATCTTAAAATATAATCGTAAGAGAACTAAAAAATATAAAAATATTTTTTCCATTTTTTCACAGTAATGTATAATGAGTTTTTATATTAATAAGTTAAGTTTAACCCGAAATTAAGAATTGACCTCTAATTAGGAATGTTATCTTATCTCTGTTTCGGATGAAATGCTGAAATTTCGCGACGAAATTATGTTGCTTAAATATGTTAAATAAGTTAACTGCTAATTGGGGAAACAAAAAGAGTATTATACGACACATACGCACACGCACACGCATGAAAAAAACAATTCCGTCAGTATAACTGAATTTGCTATTATCTGGCAACCAAATGAAAAATTTGTAGCTATGGGAACAAAAAGATTTTGATAAGAGATTTCTACTCAGCCAATTGCTTTCAGTTACTTTAACTGAGTTTAACAGGTATATTATTTCTCGTCAGCGAGTTTTTGTCTGATCCCCATTCAATTGCGCAAACTAAAATTCTTTTTTTTCTATGCGGTGATACTACCAATAATAAAAGATGATGTTTCAGGACAGACGTTTGTTTCCGATAGCATCTCTGATTAAAATTTTACATCATCACGTTCCGCCTGAATGAATCGCTTTTTTTGCCTCGTTAGTGGATAATAATTGCGTGCATGGCGTAAAGTACGTATAACAAAACGACAACGGTGCGACACGGCGAGAAACGTCCTGCGTAATGCGATTTGATGTGATCCGACTTAATTCTTCTAGTCGCGGCATTCTCTCCTCTCTCTCTTTCTCTATCTCTTTCTCTCTCATATATACACACACACACTCGTTCTCTTTCCTCTCTCGTCGACGAGTGAACAAGCACCCAGATATCGTGCGCTAATTAATTAATGATCGGTGCACAATACTGTCGACGTGGCGACCAGCAAGTCGATCGAAAGTTTGGGAACGCGGCACTGAGGCGAGAGAGAGAGAGGGAGGGCCGATCGATCGCTTCGTTAACGACGACAGTACCAATTAAATAATATAAAACGTAATGTCCGCCCAACGGAAACGACTCGCCGTTCGCGGTAATATAAAACTCGACCGGCATAATTAAAACGACGAGAAAAGTTAGACGGGATAAGGTAGCGATGAGGATAAGGGAAGCTACGCGAACGAACGGCAAGGAAATCCGCTATTGATTCCGCCGCAGGAAAAATGCCCAAGGAAGATGGAGTGGAGTGAGCTTTATTATGTTCTCCGGGTAAGATTGTACTGAGAATATTAAGCAATAAATCGGTGTTAAGAGAGCAGGACAAATTGCATATGTTACTGTCACACTGACACATACCCTAAGAATACGTGAAAAAAGGAGAACAAAAGACAATGTTCGCTGGATGTATTAATGGATATCGGGAAAGCAAGCACTCACCGTTGAGCACTCTGAAACAGCGTGAATCACGAAATCTCGTCGATCGAGTATGAAATATTCGCGGCGAACTGTTTATTTACTGCGCGACGCGAAAGATTATCTGCTCAGTCGTTCTGTCGGCGATGTTTCAGACAACGTGACTGAGGCTGAGAGCGTGCATAGCGCGAATGAGGGCAGGTGCGCGAGAACGACCGACGGCAGGAATTCGATAATTGCAAGTGGAAGAGGATTCGCCCGACGACAGGAATGCCGCGCGCGGGACGAGCCATGGATTTGCATAAGAAGGCTCGACGACGACGACGACAACGGCGGATGGCGCGAAGAAAGCGACGCAAATCGTCGTCGCCGTCGTCGTCGTCGTTGTCGTCGTCGCATGTCGAGCCCGACGACGACGACGACGGCGACGAAAGAGCGACGTTCCCCGGAGGCGCGAAATTCTTCGTCAAAATGCAGCCTGCACAACGGAGGCGACGTCGGCGCGTCGACCATGAAAGCCGACAAAAAGCTCGGCAACGTTCTCGCATCGTGGACCTGGCGACCTACCCGGACCTCCTCGTACTCGGAGCTTTATCGTCGTAGATTCGGTTAGTGCCTAACGAGATGAGACTCTTCTTTCAGTCATTCGTCGCAGGATTCGCTTGGGGGAGGAGGGGGGAGGAAAAGGAGATGTGCCCGTGCTATCGGCGGACTGGACGAAAAAGAGCGAGCCGAAGCTCGGTGAGATTTTTCCCCGAGGACGGTTACTCCCGTTTTCGTGATTAGAAACAGCGGGGGTGTATCGCGTCGCGCGCGCGAGAGAAAGAGAGAAAGGATAGAGAGAGGAGGGCGAGATGCCTAATCCGGCGAGTCGGATATAACGCTCGACGCTGTCGTCGTCATTCCATTCTGAAACGGTTAGGTTTTTAACTCGCGAGAGAGATGTCAAACGGGCTCGAATTCACAAGTCTTGCATGCACCGGTTCGGAATACGCCGCCTTTTAATCCCGCGCGAGGAAATCACAGCGACAAATGTAACAATTTCCGAGCGTTCTCATGAATACAAAAGATAAGATTATTATTTGTAATTTACATGATGTGAAAAAATGACCTGGCTCTTTCTTCTGCGAAGTGAATTTTTAAATTGCTTCCTTCACTCGGGAGTTATTGACACTGGACTACAGAGGCAAGCGCGAGCTGCGCTTTAGAAAGGCGCAACTTTTTTCCCGCGTAATTCACCTCGACGCGGGTCTCGTGTGAATTTGTCGGGAACGTTCCTCGTTGGTGGCGTGCGTGAATCTCGACTACTACTAAGACCCGAGCGACGCGATAAAGTCGGAAATATTAAATCGTACGTTTGAGTTTCGTTCAAACATATTGTCATAACGCGGGGAATTTTATTTCGCGAACGGCTCACCGCGAGGGGATTCCGCCGTATTGCGATGCAGGCGTAGACGTCACAGTTTCTACATATTACGGGGCGGCGAAGTTGCAAGATGAGAAAAGTTACATTTTTATGAAAGAGGATTAAGCACCCGGCCCTCCGTAAAATATTTGAAACTTTGCGGAATTGCTCTAACCGCTCTGTGCCCCTTTTGGGACGTGTAGACATGGTTGGTGGTCGCGAATATAAAATGATTTTATGCGTGAGAAATGAATTTGCAGGCTTCGCAATTACTTTCAGACTCACTCTCCACGAGCACGAGGTGAGATAAAAAAGAATTATATACTTGTTAGAACAAAATGAAATATATTAGTTAGAAAGAGAAAAGAGTTATTTTCCAATCGGTTACTGGAATAACGATTTCGCGTTATGTTCGTCGAAATATTTCACAATCGGCATATCTCGGCCAACTTAGTTCTTTTACCTTTTCCGTTTTCTTTTTTCCTTAAGGGGGAGATTTTCCAGACGACAGTCGAAAGATATAGCGGTGTCACGTCTTTCTCCTCAGAAACCCAGTCATCTTATGGAACTATGACGTGAAAACTTCTCAAGCGCCATTTTCCTCAACGAAGAATCACTGCCGCCTTGCGAAGTCGACAGCGTCATTTTTCATGTTACTGTCCGCCACTTTTCACGTCACGTTTCTCTTCCGCGCAGGGACTCGTTTCCCGCCGACTTCACCGCCGGTAACCCCCGGTTAAACCAATTAGGAGTACCTGGTGAGTGCGCGCGCCTACATGCGTGCGTGCAGTCATTTCCACGTGATGGCAAGCGACAGTCGTCCTCCGCCGCCGTTACCTCCGCCAAACCTAATTTCGGACTGTCACGCTGGTGACGAAAAGTTGGAGTCGCATCGCCTCTTCTTCTTACCTTTTTTCTGTTCCTAGACATCTCGAGGTACTCGCAGCACATCCGGTCTCCCGAGGGTTCCACCCTGTCGATTTGTGGCGACAGCCAGCTCGAGGAGCTTAGCTTGGACGAGGATCGCTCGTCCCTTCCGGCCACCTCGAGGGACGACAGCAGTGAACTCAGCTTCTATCGTCGCTTTATCGAAGGTCACGCTGAATTTGCGACACGCACCGCGCTCTCTTGCGTGCTGGCATCGGATCCGAGACTTGCAAATAATACCGTTTTCCCTGGAGTGTCGAGGGCAGCCGGCGAGCGCTGTATCGCGGACGGAAAACCAAAGGGACCGACGTACCGTCCGTACACCATCGAGGAGTACAGGAGTCTGTCGGTGTCGAGGCCTGATCGATCTCTGGGTCCTAATAAGGACGAGGTGCAAATGAAGGTGCGTACCTATGTGAGAAAGGAATTTCGTAGAACGTAAGGATTGTGATTTATTGTTTTTCCTTTAAGATCTAGATATCGATCTTGTTCGAATATTTTCTTCTATAAAATAATTTCAAAAAACATTGTGATAAAGAGTTTTGTGATGCGGATAAAATTGACCATCAAGAAGTACGAGTTTCTGAATGCTTTTCACATTTTTTATCGATTGCAATACTTCAAGCTGTCTTACTATAATACTTTCTCCAAGTCAATTAGTACATAATCACTGAGAAACAGTGAATATTCACTGATCACAGTTATAAGTGTATTACTGCAAATCAACGAAATAGTTTGATTGAATCAATTATTTACTGGCACTGTTTTCACCAGTACTATCTGATTGCTGAAAACAGTTACTATGTATAGTGAAGTGCACTATTTTCTTATCCGTACATCCCTTATAAAAATTTACCTTAAAAAAGTTAAAATAAACTATAAATTGTACCAAGGAAGTTATTTTAACAAATTTATGATTTCGAACAAAACTTTAAATATTTTGGTAGTATACTATAAAGGTTATTTTAAAAATTATTTACAATAAAAAATATTTAAAAAGATATCCCTAATTTTTTCTCATATCTCATGACTATTGAGAACCGAAGATTATTACCATATATTCCAAATGTGTATCTTCCTTCGGAAGCGGAAGCTATAAGCGATTCCATCTATGTTCTGACTAGGCTAAGCGGGACTTAATTTTGATGATTGAGCAGCATAAGGTGACTCCAATGGCTCTAACGATGAACTCTAACGATGTTTTTAAGACTTATGTTTATATAATGTATCTTTATATTATTCACAGAACATTATAATATATTTATTAGGAAACATTAAAATGGTGGAACAATATTAGATATGCGACGGATATTTGTATGTGTATTAACTTTCAGTGTCACTGACGCTATACGGCGTACTTCTGAAAAAAATTATTGATCTTTAATCGAATTCAATAAAGCTTGGTATCCATAGATTTCTTAGGTCGCTGAATCCGAATCCGGGGTCAAAATTTCAAAATTGAAAATGTCGAGCTCAAAATGGCTTCCAAAAAATTTAAAAAATTTTGTGATTTGCATGAAGTTTGATTTGTAAGGGTTTTTCGGGTCACAAAATCAAAATCTGCTGTCGATATTATTGCGTTACTACGTAACCTTAACAGAAATTAAATATGAAAATATTTTTAATTTTTAAAAATATTTCAGTAACACACATTCATTTTCGAGAATTTTGTCTGGCCAAATTAAATTTATCTTTTTAAATTTTAACAATTTGACAGCAGATTCTAATTCTGTCATCTAATAGAAACTCCTGGAAATCAGATTTCATGCAAATTGCATAATTTTTAAAATGTTTGGACGCTATTTTGAATTTTAAAATTTTGATTACGGAATCGGAATAGACCCAAAAAACCCTCTTTGACATAGTCGTCATATAAATTCAATACTTTATGGAGACCACTTTTGGCCCAAAAGCATATTTTTCGGCTGACACTGAAGGGGTTAATAAACCAGTGATCAGTTTTATCACTGCTTTTAGATTTTTAACAAAATATTATTTTTAATACTACTATATTCTTTTCTTTCTATTTTATCTTCTTGCAATACGTAAAATGTAGCTCGTAAATGTTGATAAAAAATTATTTGCCATTGTAAATTGAAATTCCGAATGCGTTTCTATATTACTGATTTTGTAGTGAAATCTTACCTCCACTGACGCAAATCAGTGAAATGTAAGACGATCAATAAGATGACGGTATTTCCATTAAGAATCAGTAAATATTCACTGATTACCAATGGTATACTGTTTTATTGATATAATCAATGCCATTTTCACTGATTGCCTTGAAGAGAGCATTGTTGCCACTGTTAAAGTATGTGTCAGCTAATTTGAACCAAAGTGACAGTACAAAATGTGCTATTTGTGAAATTTTGAAGAGAGAATTTTAAATTAATAGAATTGAGCATTATCCTAAAAAGTAATTTTATATTTATTTACAATTGATTACTGCATATGCGTGTATATTGTATATGTACATATATATGTCAGTAATATCTTTCAATTCTGACGAATTGTTGCAACTTTATTCGATAAAGAAAACCATCTAGTAAGTATACATAATATCTGAGTATACATAATTATGTACATTCATGTTACAGAATTTAACAAATCTTATAACTGTGATAATAAACATAAAAACTCCAACCTTGTACTTTAAGATGATATCGATAATAAAATTGAAAAAATGAAATTTGTTTACTTTTTTGTGGAAAACTAGAACGATATATGCGCGCCATATAGTTAATAAAAAACAATAAAAGATGTAAAATAAAAATAAAATAAAAATTAAATTAAAATATACTTTAATTAATATATTTTAATTAATTAATAATTATAAGGAGAGACAAGGAGAGACAGAGAGAGACGGGGAGAGACGGGAAGAGACGGGGAGAGACGGGGAGAGACAGGGAGAGACGGGGAGAGACAGGGAGAGACGGGGAGAGACGGGGAGAGGCTGAGAGAGACAGGGAGAAACAGGGAGAGACAGGGAGAGACAGGGAGAGACAGGGAGAGACAGGGAGAGACAGGGATAGACATATCTCTTCTGTATTTTTTTTTCGTGACCAACGCGATGACAGCTATTTGCTTGGTAATTTGACAGGCGCAAACGAAGCAAGCCGCAACCCACATGAAGTGAGCTAAGCGAGAGAACCGATCAGTATCGCGGAAAGGCGGCAACAATTAAATCTCTTACATGCCTTTTTTAGAGAGGATTTTACACGATTGTAAGCACCAACGATTTTGCTCTGCAAATGATCGCTATATTGGTTTTTTCAATTATTGTTTCGGGGCGAAGAATATAACTTTACTTAGGATGGATCGGTAGTATTATGCCGATAAAATCATTAGTTTACTAATATAAAAAATTTAGGATCTAAAGTGAATGTACATAATTGTGTACACTAGACCTTAAAGAATTACATTCTAGAATTAAGTTTTATTTATAAAATAGAAAAAAATACATAGAACGGTAATACAATAAATATGTCCGAATCGTGAAATGATACAATGATAAAAGGAATGTATATTTATAGTAACATATAAAAAATTGGTTTTGATACGCTTACACTGTGTATGACGTAATCCAGCGGAGGATATATCGTTTTCGATAATCTATTTTTTGTTATATGTGCACACATATATCGCAATGATCCACCGTTATTGGGGATTTCAGTACGTTAAACGTGTACAATTTTCAAGCGATTTTTCGACCAACACGATAGGCTAAAATCATATCGCTTACGCGAAATTTAGAGGCGCAGCACGCAATTCTCATTTCCGAAAACTTATCTGTCGCGCGCGTCCGTTCGTTCGTTGGCTCGTTCGTTCGATCAAAGTTTCCAGGACAAGGAAAGTTCCTTCGCCTCGATAATTCACGTTTTCTATATTGCTTTCTTGATAATGAGTATAAAAGTATTTTATATTACTCGGGAACGTCATTAAAACTTGGCGTGCCGAGTTCGCTTGTGCTTTTATCGCGAAATTTATCTTCTGTCCGTTTCTTTTATCCCTATTGTTTTATCTCGCCGGTTGTTTATTGCCGCGTCTTCACCGTTACTGTCCCCGACATGAGATAACTGCGTTACGGGCCAGATCGCGCAGTGAGAGAGTATGTACGTTGATAAACAATGTCTCCTCTCAGCCCGACGAGCCAATTACGTCATATGGCGCGGGAACGTAACACCGGGATTTGATTAACTTGCCAATTCGATTAATTCTTCGGCATCATCGATATCATCGTTGATCAACGCAGCTCGTTGGGGCTAGAAGATAGCAGCTGCGAGCAGCGCTTCGCAGTTGCGGCGCGTATAAGAAAACGCAGCTTCTGCAGAAATTCTATGATAAAACATCGTGTATTTCGACTCAGATTTTAAAATATCTAAAACGGGAAGTGTGATAATTTGGCTAGTGACTGGCCAGGATTACTGGTTAGTTTTTGGTTGGTTTAGACGTGGGCTCAGCCAGTAACTGAACGGTAAAACTAAAAATTGGTTTCTAAACAAACTTTTTGTACATATAAAATTCTGTCAAATAAGTTTTTATTGTTCGATTCTGCATTGTAAAATATTATATTTTATTATTTAACATAAAAGTAACAAAATTCGTGTTTTAGAAGGTAAAGAGTCTTTTCACATGTGCAAATCCACTCATTATTCAAATAATTAGCTTTATTCTTAACTAGTTTAAACTATCCGATGTTACTCAGGTTTCTTATATTTAGAATATCTAAATTTCAATTATCACAAAATATCAAGGGGATGAAAAAAGGAGAGTGAATAAGGTGTGTGCAGGTTTTATGTAACATATATTTTCCATAGGGTCCTGGAGAATAACTATGCAAAATTTTAGATCGATCAAAGGGTTTAATTAATATAAGGAACACATACAGAAAGACATTCCATTTTATATTATTTTTAATTACTATTTTTCTTTCTTGCTTGGTTTCTGACCAGTAAACATTGTGTGTGTGTGTGGTCAATATTTTCTGAGTTTCTATTAGACAGAGAGAAACTGCTTAGTATCTATTTATTATTTTTATTCCCTGATTCTGGACCAATAACTGGTTAAAAAATACTGGCTAGTATTTTCCTGTTCAGTTTTTGAACAATTATTGTCTCATAATTAACTAGTAGAAACCAGTTTAATAATTAGCCGGCAGTAAAAACTGACCGGTCTCTAGCTACTGACTAGTTTTTCCTGGAAGTTTTTCTACTCTACTGATCGATCTAGCTTGCTGATCGATAGGAAGGATTCGCATGAAAAAAATGTGGTAGGTGAAAGAGACACGTCTAAGCTTTAATTTGAAACGGAAAATTATGCCCAAGTATGTCTCGTCCGGATGGAGACTATGTAGTCGTGCCTCTGCACTTACCTTGACAACAGATTTCAAAGTAGCCTTGAAGGAAAAAAGACGTCACCGGACCACCGTCCTCAGACTTTTTCTTCTTTGAGAATCTCTCAAATTTCCTTAGACGAAAAGTTGATTGTTTGCGTTCCAGATAGACTAAAAACATTAGCGCCGGGACGCTCTCAACATTTCTTCTGCTT